CCAGCATGCGCAGCGGTGCCCAGGCTGGGGGTGGACTAGGAGAGGGGTGTGGGCAGCCCGTGTGGAACAGAGCATGAGAGGAGAGCTGCGAGGGGACCGGTTCCGAGAAGACAACCAGCAGGTACAGCTTGGCAGCAGCATGCTGAGCGTGCTGGCCTGCCTGCAGCCCAGGACAGGAGGAGGCAGCCAGCTGGTGTCACCCAGCATGCGCAGCGGTGCCCAGGCTGGGGGTGGACTAGGAGAGGGGTGTGGGCAGCCCGTGTGGAACAGAGCATGAGGGGTGCACGACCGAGGCTTAGGCACCAGCTCTGCTGGCCCTCCCTGTGAGCGACAGCCGAGGGGCTGTGCGGCAGGGCTGACGGCACTCGCTTCCCTTCTCTTTCAGAAAACCAAGCAACAGTCACACACTGAAGAAGCCATAGAGTAAGTATCTGCTCCAGGCCCTCCTCGGCCGCAGGCAGGGGCAGCTCCTGCCTGTGCCTGCCTGTGACCCTGCACAGGGAATCAGGAAGAAGGGTGGAGGCCAGAGCACAGCTCAGGCTCACGCTGCTGTGTCAAGGGGGTCTGATGACTCTCTACCATGGTCGGGCTTGGGCACGCAGCTGAGGGCTCCTGGTTGTGGCTGGGGTGGAGGAGCAGAAGGCAGCACTCTGCTTCCCTGCAGCTCTGCCAGGAAGGGCCCAGGCACTGCCACGCGAGGCAAAGGCCAGGGCAGGTCATCTCCTCCCAGCCTGGGATGGGTGCACAGGGTGGGAAGAGGCAGCTGCAGGGCTTCTGGGGGCACTCTGCACACCATCTCATTCTTCTCCTGCTCCTTCACAGGGTTCAAAGCAGTAGAAGCTTCGTCTTTCCACATCTAAGGGCTTTTGAAAAACCGTGAAGATCAGATCTGCTCACTGGGTTGAACACAGCAGGGGAAACCTTCCTGCCTGCTGTCAGCCTCTCCCTCTCCTCCAGCCCGTTAGGGACAACGCAGCCAGATCAGCACACTGAGCAGCGCTCCCTTCCTTCTGCTGGACCAGCAATGCCTTTGCTCTGGCTTGCCTTACTCAACTCTTTGCCCCTGAGGAGCCGAGTGCCAGTGTATAGCAGTGGCTGGCCAGCTGTCCCCCCGAGGGGACCAGCCCTGCTCGGTGTCTCCCCTCAGCCGCTCTGTGAGCCCCTGGGCTCCCAGCTCTGCTCAGGCATCAGCGGGGCTAAGCCCAGCTCCCTGCCAACAGCATCTACACCTACCTGTTTTCGTAACCCAAGGTTATAAATTACCCATAACCCCCAAATAAAACAGTTTAACGCAGACCAAAAAGCCTTAGCTATCACCTGAAACGTGGCCTGCAAAAATCTGGTTGGAGGAGACCTTCCCTATGTAGAGCAGTTAGAAATGGTGGCCAGCTCCTCCCTGAGCAGCGAGGCAAGTGGAGGCACTGCTCTAGCAGGGGAAACTGAGGCAGCTTCTACTGCCTGCCTTTTTTCTTTGCTTTGTAAACAAGCCCTGGTTTTAACCAAATTCCCAGCTCAGAGCACCTAGAAAGAATTTTAAAAGCGACCTGTAGGGTGAAGTTTGTCAGATGAGGCGTAACATCACACTTGTTCTGACGCTAATCGCCTCCAAGCCAGCACAGGGCACAGGATGGGCTCAGTGACGAAGCAAGCTCTGTCTGCCATCCCCTTGAGTTGCTCACAGCATCCATGTTCCCTGTAACACCCCCCAGCACCAGCCAATGCTGCGCTGCCTGTGCTGCATTGTTTGTGGAGGAGACAACCAGCATGCAGTGGCTGCCCCACTGGCTGCGGTGGGGCAGGCGAGGAAAAAGTGTAGCTTAGAAACATTCCTAGTTTTTGTGCGTTTGTATGACAACGCTAGTTAAACATAGATTTGTGTATTAACATACACACTGTATATTATAAATTAATACATACCAGAGATATATTGTAGTTATGGTATAGAGTGTTATGTCCCTAGCAGTCTAGGGGCAGCCCTCCCCTCCTGCCAGCATCGCAGGGCGCTCTGTGTTGAGCTGCAGCCTGGAAGCTGCTCTCGGAGTAGAACAGGCCCAGGAGTTTTGGCGCTGCTGGTACCCCCCACTTCTCCCTCCTGGGAGTAGCGTTAAAGAGTGCTCGGCCTGGAGGAAGCGGCAGGGACGATGTAAAGCCACAAGCAGCTTGCCAGTGCTATGCTCCCCTCCTGTGCGGGCTCTAGCGCTGCTCCCACTGGAGAATCAGAGCTGGGGGTGGACGTGCTTCCTTCTCTTCCAAGCCTACCTGATCCTGCTCCAGCAGCACTAGAGTTCTGCCTCCCCAGGGAGAATGCTCTCCTGCGGGAGAAGCAGCTGGCCCTTGCCTGGAAGAGCAGGGCAAGGGGAAAGCCAAACCAGCCTCTGCTCTCCATGGCGCTGGGAGGGGGTTTGAGGTGGGGGTATGGAAGCGTGGGCACCCCTGCTTTGTTAGCCATGAGACCAGCGCCAATAGTGCCAGCGCTGCCATGGGGCCTGTCCCTGCAGCGACGGGAAGCACGGTCCCGCTGTGAGCTGGGCACAGCAGGTCCTCGCCTACCGCCCTGCAGCCCGCACTATATGTAATGCAGCCAGAAGGTTTTAACCTAGCCTTGGAAATAAATTAGTTATTTTGGTTTGATTTTTTTTTTTTTTAATAAAAACACTATGGAAACTGGATGTTTTTTGAAGCCACTGGTCAATGAGGAGGAACGAGGGTTATTGTTGTATTCTGATATATGGGATTTATTGCTGCCCCACACACGGAGGCCCGCAGCCACCATGGCTTGTGTCTGTGTGGGGCGGGGAGGCGGAGTGTGCCAGCACGGCAGAGCTCGTGCACCTTGGAGCCTCACCTCCTCCTCACTCCCGGGCTGTTTTACTTCCTTCACTGACAAAGTCTTTATCTTCCTCTGTGTACAGTGCATCCCAGTCCTCCTCCTCCTCCTCTTCCTTCTCCTCCTCCTCCTCTCGAGCCAGCAGCTTTTTGAAGACCTGGTACTCCTCCGGGGTGGAATGGGCCAGGCTGGCCAAGAAGTCTTTCTCCGGGAGCTGCAGGATGTCCCTCAGTTTTGGGTTACCCGTTTGGGTTTGGCCTTTGTGGGGGGTCTGGTAGAACCCCCGGCGCTCCAGGAAGATGTGCCGGTTCCTCAGCTCGGCAAAGGGCGTTCGGAAGAGACCGGCCTTCACCATCTCCTTCTGCTGCAGCCCCATCCTGAAGTAGGCGTACTGCGAGGCGGGACAGGCCGGGTACCGCACAGCCCCGCACCGCGGCCCCGCACCGCGCCGCGCTCCCCCCTCCTCCCTCCCCC